GAGACGGATGTCGGCTGGAGGCCGACTCATGCACATTCAAACACGTGGTCTTGATGATGACCGCGTCAGTGTCTTGGCCTTCGAAGAGCTTGACACCTGTTTCTTCTGGCAGCCACCTCAGATGCGGATCTCGAAGTTTGGAGAGCGCTTGGGCCCATCCTTCCGTACGTACTGGAGCAAAACCGGCCCGGACGCAGTAGAACTGCTGGATAGCCAGAGGTTGCAGATTTACATGGTTGGGGGCCAGATGCGACATCTACGAATTCTGGAGGAAAACGACAACATTACCGCGGAGGTTTCGGGGTTTGTCGTCCGAAATGCCGATACAGAGATGGCGCGTGAATTGAGCGTCGATGTCGCCAATCAAGATCTCAAGGCCTGTGGGACCTTCTCGTTTCGGTACATGGTGCTATCCACGCTGATACTGCTGGCTTGGCACGTAACCCGGTGGATCATCAGTATTCACTATGAGCAGCGAGCACATCCGGGACAGCTCCCGTGGTGGCGGGGCGCACTGGTTACGATCAATGGCGTCGTTTTCTGCACGTGGGGATTGTTCGAAACATGGTCTGCTAGTCTGGCCGGGGAGAGGCCAGCATGCCTAACCAATTGCATGGGACTTCTTCTCTGCTTCGCTTTCGCAATTGTGGGAACCTTCGCGCAGATTGCAGACTACCCCCTGTCTCTGATGGGCCTCACGGGCCTTTTCCTGGGAGGCCCCACATCTTTGTATTTCCTAACTCGGGCAAACCATCATCAACGGGAGCTCTTTCCTTGCGCGATGTGGACTTTCGCTCAGCTGATGGGAACGGTTGGCTGCTCAATACTCCTCTCCTGCATCGTTACCTTATACGGCGTGCTGCTGGAAGACCAGGCGTAGCTTGAACTCGCTGCCCTGTTCCCAAATTATGGCCTCGAAGACTCTACCCGCCCAAGTCGTAGGAATCCCATAGTCCCCAGAGACTCCAATATCCCTTAATTAATGAATATACTTTAAATTATAGTAGGATCCCTAATATGATTTAAGGTATATTCCTTATTTAAGGGATATTGGAGTCTCTGGGTCCTTACTTCGAAGTGACCATGGGCAGGTTTTGGTTGCCACCGTTCTTTTGCCCCTCTCCACTGCAACGGTAGAGGCAGGCACCGTGCCCAGACCTTTCAGAATCTTGCTTGCTTGCCTTCTCGAAACCCCTAAACCCCTAAACCCTAAACCCTAAGAATAAGGAGAGGCCGGTTGCCCCATGCTTAATTACATGGCTGTAGCACGCCTGAGCAACGCTGATTAAGCTCAGGTGATGGGTTGCAAGCTGGCCTACGAGCGGCTGGTGGTTTCAAGACGTCCAGCAGTGCCTGGTGACACTTCCTACATCGCCTTGCCGTACATGTTGATGTCAGCCCACTCGTTCTGCGAATCAGCCCGGTTGGTGGCTTCTTTTTCAGGGGCGCTGACATCTGGCAGCTATTCTTGGGTTGGATCTGCTCTCCTGACGCTAACTTTGAACATCCTCGTTCGCCTGGGATGGACTCGATACCTTCTGTTCCTGTTCCTCAGAAGACTGCACCCAAGCCTGGGCTCTCTTGCTGTGCCAAGCGGATGGACGAAGCTGCATGATGATGTAAGGATCTATGCTGGCTACTTCCGGTTCATCGCGGCAGCGTCGCTAGTATGTGCCAGAGCTATCTACTATGGTGATATGTCCTTCGACGGGCCGAAGGCTCCAGCCTTCAACTTCTCAGCAAGCTGCTCTCTTGTGGTCCTCCTTGTGCTTGAGATTCTGGAAGACAAGGTCGTGATCGGGGAGCTCCTACCGATGAGTCCCATTCCGGCCGAGATGCTGGGGACGACTCGCCGGATGAATTCAGATTTTGGGAGGCGGCCTTGTAAGGTCTCGCAGCGTGTAGTGTTGGACAGTGGAACCCCCAAACCAGCTGAACCTAAACTCAGCTTTGTAGGGGCAATGTAGAAGAATTGCCAATTTTGGTCTTAGGGTTCCATTTTATACTTATACACTATAATGGCCCCCAATCAAAACCCTATTCTAATCATCAAGGCCCCTATATTCAGAGGAAGGGCAAGGGAGCGAACAAATATTCATGCGTGGGGATCAGAAGACCAAATCCAGAAGGCTAGCAAGGCCGGCGAAACTGGCCAGTGTTATTTTAATATAATAATATACTCCCCCCCCCACCCACCCCAACACTATCATTTTAGTAAAATACACCCCCAAAGCTTGTTCTTGCGATTAAGGCCCTTTAGTAACCCATCCTCTGCTATTGGGGGCGATCCCACCCTAGTCAATCCAGGACAGGACCGTGGTGCCGTGTAATTCCATTAGATTCCAATAGGAGTAGTGCGCCTGAAGACTCCTGAACCACTAGGGTTTAGGGTTTCGGGCTTCAGGTTTTCAGGTCTTAGGTTTCAGGGTTAAGGCGTCGGGGTTTAGGGTTTCAGGATTTACATTTCAGGATTACCGGGTTTAGCGGCTTTAGGCTGTCG